TTTTTTTTGAGACGGAGTCTTACTCTGTTGCCCAGGCTGGAGTGCAGTGGCGTGATCTCGGCTCACTGCAACCTCCAACTCCCTGGTTCAGAGGATTTTCCTGTCTCAGCCTCCTGAATAGCTGGGATTACAGGCATGCGCCACCACATCTGGCTGATTTTTATATTTTTACAGGGTTTTGCCATGTTGGCCAGGCTGGTCTCAAACTCCTGACCTCAAGTGATCTACCTGCCTCAGCCTTCCAAAGTGCTGGGATTATAGGCAGGAGCCACTGTGCTTGGCCAGGAGTGCCCACTTTTAGTACGCCAGGAATTAGAAATTTCTCACATTTTCCTCCTGTGCACCCCATCTCAGTGGGCCCGTGCTCCCCAGCTCCCACCCACCAGACCAGGGTCCCCCTCTAGCTGTTTCCCCGCCCCACCCTCTCCATCTTACCTCCTTCAGGCAGCTTCTATGACCACCCCTTCCGGCCCCCGTCCAGAACTACATTCCCGGGAGGGGTGCCCTGTATCACACACTCAGCCTGGCGTAGACTCGCCCAGGGACTGTAACTCACCAGGCCTGTGGCTTCCTTTTCACCAGCCCCCGGTGCCGTCTCCACTGGGAGTGGGGGCTGAGGTGGTATGTCAGCTGACGGCACAGCTTCTCCATGGCGCCCAGCGCATCGCCTTCCTGCAGAGGCAACCATGGGTGGTGGGCCCTGAGTGGCTGGGTGTACCAGTCCCAGCCCCCAGGCCTCCTGTCTCCTGAGTGAGAGCCCAGCAGTCCCAGGCTGAGCTGGGGGAGGCCCTGCTCTGCTGGCCCAGGGTGCGCGCCCTAGGCAGACAGCAGGGCCTGCAAACAGGTCTGCAGGATGGTTTTAGTTTTTGTGAATTAGTTGCTAGCACTGAAAAACAGATTTATGTAAGTCTGGATTCCAGGGGACTGGACAACAGTTGGCTGGAGCCAAGTGCCTGCTGACCCCCTGGCCAGGACTCACCATGATCCCCGCCACTCCCCAGTGCCCAGGGCCGCTCTGTCCATTCTCCTGCTCAGCAGATTTAGTGAGCACTTTCTTGGAGCCAGGCACTTGTTCTAGAAAGCTAGGATACAGTCATGAACAAATGTCCATGTCCTTGTATTTCACATAGTAAAGAGGAAAGTGAGGTAGTTTTACCTGTGTTTCCCTCAAAAGTGGGAACAAATGAATGAGGAGGCCAAGTCTTTCCAAGCCCAGTTCATTCATACGTGTTCCTGCCCGGCATTTGAGTTTGAAACCCTGGGTGTCATGGGCTGACTTATATCCCTCTGACAACTACACGGTGATGTCCTAACCCGTAGTACCGTGGAATGTATTTGGAGACATGGCCTTTAAAGAGGTGACTGAGGTAAAATGGGATCAGAGGAGTAGGCCCTAATCCTATATGACTGGTGTCCTAAGAGGAAGAAATGGCGATACAGACATGCTGAGGAATGACCACTTGAGGACACAGGAGGCGGAAGAGCCGACAGACCTAGGAGAGGGCCTCCGGAGGAAACCCGGCAGCCAGCCTTGGACTCCGGCCTCCACAGCTGCGTAGACCACCAGTCTGTGACTTTTTGTGATAGCAGATGCTGGGTTAAACACTGCAGCAGAGAGATGCTAGAGACTCCAACTATATCCCAAGGGAAGTCAGTCCACAAGTCACCAGAGCCAAGCTCGTGCTGGACAGGCTGAGGGCATGAGTTCCAGCAGGGAGAGGGGCCAAGAGTGTGCTCCTGCCAGGGGCCAGTGCTGAGGGCCAACAGCCAGCAAGCACTGTGCTCAGATGCAAACCACAGGTGGCCAGTGGCTCGGTGCAGGGAGGTCTGGGGTGTTAACCACCCACAGTGCTCAGCATGGTGCCTGGCACAGAGTGGGTGCTCAGCAGGCCACTCTGTCATTAGGATTCCCATGCCCCTCTGCCTGTGGACAAGTGGCGTATTGAGTAGTTAAGAGCAAAGACTTGGGGCCAAAGTGCGGGGATTCAAGTCCTGGATTTGACATCTTCTGTGTGGCCTTGGACAACTGCTTGACCTCTCTGTGCCTCCAAGCCATATCTGTGAAGGGATTACAGTATGGACCTCACAAGAGTTTCTGTGCGGATTAAACGAGTCACCGCTAGTATAGCGCTTTGAATAGAGCCCAGCCTACAGCCAGCTCTCCAGGCACGCTCTCTAAGTGAATACTGTGAGTGGCACCAGCACAGGGAACTCTGGCATGGCAAGGAGGGAAGATTACTTCTGCCCAGGCTCAGATTTAAGCTCAGCTCTATTTTTATTTTATTTTATTTTTGAGATGGAGTCTTGCTCTTTCACCCAGGCTGGAGTGCAATGGCACGATCTCGGCTCACTGCAACCTCCGCCTCCTGGGTTCAAGCAATTCTCCTGCCTCAGCCTCCTGAGTAGGTAGGATTACAGGCACCCACCATCACACCCAGCTAATTTTTGTATTTTTAGTAGATATGGGGTTTCACCATGTTGGTCAGGCTGGTCTTGAACTCCTGACCTCAAGTGATCCACCAAGCCCGGGCTGAGCTCAGCTTTTAAGAGCAGATAGGTTAGTGATTTTGGATGGAGAAAGAAAACGTGACGCATTCTTGAGTGAGGATGTCTGTGCCAGGGCTTGGGGATGTGGAGGCCGTGGGGTGTGTTACTGACATGAGGGCAGGTGAAGGCCTGGGGCCTGATCACATCTGGTCCCTCCAAGGTTCAAGCCACTGTTACCCCTGCACATCAGACATGATGCAAGGTTATGAAATTCCCACAGCACCCCAGGGCAGTAGATACTTTTGTTAGCCTCATTGTGCAGAGGGGGAAACTGAGGCCCAGAGGGCCGGGGATGGGCCTCGGGCTGATGGAAAGGCAAGAGAAGGAGACTTGGAGGAAGGAAGACAAGAGAGAGAGGAGGTGGGAAGATGGAGGTTGAATGTCCAAAGGAGAGAGGCATCCGTGGAGGGACCCAGGAGACCAAGGAGGGCCCCAGACTGAACAAAGTAGATTTAGAGGACCCCTGGGCTACAGTTCACAGCCCATCACCACCCCTGTCCCCCAGCTTCCTGGTGCCTGGCTGTCTGATGAATGATCTTGTACCACTTGCCTCTTGTACCTGTGTCACACCTGTCACTCCTGTGTCACACATGTCACTCCTGTGTGTCACTCTTGTGTGTTGCAGATGTGGGAGCAGGTGGGCATCTGCCTGTACAGCTTCATTCCCCACTCCTGGAGCTCACACCTTCTGGTTCCTAGACTTGCCTTCTTGCTGAGCCTGGACACACGGCTGTGTGGTACGAAGCAAGGCAGGTGAAGCAGGAGGAGCTGGGTCATGGGGGCTACAGGGGAGCTGTTGAAGGGGGCTGTCTCTCTGACTGGGAGATGGTGACAGGGGTGGACAGGAGGTGGAGAGGGTGACTCAGGGCCAGGCCAGTGGAAGGGGCTGAGGGGACAGAGGCCAAGCAGCTGACAAATACGCTGGATGGAGAAGGTGTGGGCAGGGCGGGAGAGGAGGGCCTAGGCTCTGGGCTTGGGACCTGAGTAGAAGACAAGGCGCTAAGGACAAGAAGCAGGTGAGAAAGAGGAGGGGTGACCTGCTTACATGGGGCCATGGTAAGTTTGAGGGGCTCACAAGACCTCCAGCTGTGGATGCCACTGGATTTATGGGGCTGAGTCTTAAGGCAGGTCCAGGCTGGACACATTCATCAGTATCTGATTAAACCCCTGGCCAGGTAACGAGCTGAGCAGGAGGGAGAGAGAATACTGGACACACAGTGGTCAGAGAAGACTCTGTCAGAGCAGCAGGATGAGCGGAGTGGGGACAGCAAGGAGAAGAGTGGCTGATGGGGTTAGGTCCCTGCAGAGGCCACTGGGTCTCCAACAAGGAGGCCATGGCCAGCACAGGTTCAGGGAGAGGGGCCATGGTGGGAGCTGACCTTGGAAGTCAAAGGGAGAATAGGGGCCAGGTGTGGTAGCTCACATCTGTAATCCCAGCACTTTGGGAGGCCGACGTGGGCAGATCAACTGAGGTCAGGAGTTCGAGACCAGCCTGACCAACATAACAAAACCCCATCTCTATGAAAATACAAAAATTAGCCAATGTGGTGGCGCCTGCCTGTGATCCCAATTACTCTGGAGACTGAGGCAGGAAACTAACTTGAACCCATGAGGCGGAGGTTGCAGTGAGCTGAGATCACACCAGTGCACTCCAGCCTGGGTGAAGAGTGAGACTCTGTCTCAAAGAAACAAATAGAACAAAAGGAGAATAGGAGGTGACACTGGAGTTGGCCCATCTAGAGCTGTGCTTCTTCACCTTGGAATCTTGCACATTGGAATCCCAGGGCAGCTTTAAAGTACACTGATGGATCACACACTGGGGTCTGTTGGTGGGGACTAGGGGAGGGACAGTGGGGGGTAGGGAGGTTGGGGAGGGATAACATGGGGAGAAATGCCAGATATGGGTGATGGGGGGATGGAGGCAGCAAACCACATTGCCATGCACGTACCAATGCAACAGTCCTGCATGAGCTGCACTTGTACCCCAGAACCTAAAGTACAATAAAATATATATTTTTTAAAAAAAGGTACACTGGTGGGCCAGGTGCTGTGGCTCACTCCTATAATCCCAGTACTATAGGAGAATGAGGCAGGAGGATCACTTGAGTCCAGGAATTCAAGACTACCCTAGGCAATATAGTAAGACCTGTTCTTTATTGGGGCGGGGGGGAAGCCCAGCATGGTGGTATGTGCCTGCAGTCCCAGCTACTCAGGAGGCTAAGGTAGGAGGCTCTTGAGCCCCGAAGGTCAAGGCTGCAGTGAGCTGTGATCACACCTCTGCACTCCAGCCTGGATAACAGAGTAAGACCTTGTCTCAAAAAACAAAACAAAACCAAACAAGAAAAAAAAAAAAAAACCCACTGATGCCTGGGCCACTCCAGTGATGGGTGGGTGGCTCAGGCACAGGGATTTTTTGTTTTGTTTTTAAGATGGAGTTTCACTCTTGTTGCCCAGGCTAGAGTGCAATGGCTTGATCTCAGCTCACCGAAACCTCTGCTACCTGGGTTCAAGCAATTCTCCTGCCTCAGCCTCCTGAGTAGCCGGGATTACAGGCATGCACCACCACGCCCAGCTAATTTGATATTTTTAGTAGAGCCAAGGTTTCTCCATGTTGGTTAGGCTGGTCTCAAACTTCTGACCTCAGGTGATCCGCCTACCTTGGCCTTCCAAAGTGCTGGGATTACAGTAAGCCACTGTGCCTGGCCTTTTTTT